TGCTATATATATATATATATATATTATGTATATATCTATATATCTATATATGTGCGTGTGTGTGTGTTTGTGTATGTATGTATGTATGTATAAACACACACTTGCGTGACACGCACCATCAACTGTAGGTTAGTGTCGCTCAGTGTCATGCTGGGCCTGGTTGTTACATCGTTCGAATGGCATTTGTAATATAGTTCTTGTACATGTAGAATGATGCGCATCGCACCACCACCAGCTGCCACGGCTATGTGTCTGCAGAACGTATGCCCATGTGGGCGTCATTTCCGCTACCGCTTAATGCTGCTTCTCCCAACCACGTTGGTTGCGGATTGTGCAAGTTGGGGCATGGCGAGAAAATTTCGTGTCTGCCACCAGGTGGTGTAGCTAGCAATGAATGCGGTGTCTGTACGTGTATTTTACCACCACAGAGAGAATCGCCCGGCTGAGGGCAGGTAATGTGGTTGTGCTTGGTAGTTCAGCGTTCAAGAAGAAGAAGCTGTAATGTGGCGTGGTTGCTATCATGGTCTAGTATTTTCATCTCGTGCCGGAGGCTTCCGTAAGGTCATGGCCTGACACGTCATGTCATTCGTATTGACAGTTTGTAACGTCTTGTCTCGTGAAATCAACTTGTGTCGTATCATGTATTCCATCATTGTCATGGCATGATGTGTCGTGGCCTGCCACCACCGTGGTTGTGCTGTATCGTAGTGTATCCCATCACAGTCATCGACTGATTTGTCATGGCATGTCACTACTATGTGGTCATGTTATGGTCATGTTGTGTTATGTCAAATCATGTGTGCTGTCTTATTATGGTCATTGCATGATATGTAATTATGCCACAGTGGTTGTGTCGTGCTGTTTCATGTCATGTTTTGTCTTGTCACGGCCATGACCCGATGTGTCGTATTATATCACAGCAGTTATACCATGCTCTATTACATCATGTCATAATTATCATGTCTTGTTGTGACTCATCATTGTCATGGAACTATGTGCTGTAGCCTGCCACCACTGGGGTTATGCTGTATCCCATCACAGTCATGGACTGATATGTCATAGCATGTCATGTTGTGTCTTACCATTGCCATGCCATGATGTGCTGCACTATACCATCAATGTAGTTATATATTGTGTCATGTTGTGTCGTGCCATACCATGTCGCGTCCCGTGGAAACGATCATATGTATGATATCAGCGTGATGGGATGGGGGCCGACGTCATGTGCGTCTTTACGTTAGCAACGCCGTCACATCTAGGTTGTTATTTATAATGCTTTTGTACGCTATGATGAGCGGCTGTTAGTGATTGTGCGGTTGTGCGCTCCTAGCGCCATCTACAGGCGGGAATAGTAGGGAATCGTGCAGGTACCCTCCCGCATCGGCATATATATGTAACGGCTTATATATATAGGTCAGTGAGTAGAGCGGACGAGTGTGGAGACGTATATTTCATGTTCGGTGGTACACCGATAATCCGTCTAATTGCTAATTACTGTTAATTGCGTACTTTAAATGAATTACGTCGTTAGGTTAATTAAGTGTTAATAAATAGCAATTTCTCCTCTTTATACTGCCACTGCCGCCGTATAGCACCCGTGTGTGGAGGGAGGGTGTTGGCAGGAGGTGGGCCGCGCATGTGGGAGAGGGGTAGGGGAGAGGCCGGCGCGGTGTTGAGGACGGTAAGGACGGGCTTCGAGCTCTCAGTCTGATTTTATTTTATTTTATACACGAGTATTGTAGTTTAGCGACCATATTTTTAGATGTACAGAATTCGTCTTTTTAACTTAATTTTAGGAGGAAGGAGGTGTTCGTAATGTATGGTACCAGGGCAGCCGTACGATGGTTGTGATGATTAGAGCGAGGAAGAGGAAGGGAGGGTTGGAGTGGGAAACATAGCCAACTAATGGCTGGGTTTACTAATAGATGGCGCCACAGGTAACATTGTAGCGTACCCTATACTATAATGATAATATTTTAAGCTATAATATATGTTATATATATCATGTATTATATGTGAAATACTATATTATATGCCACCATATCTGATTGTCGTGCCGGGATGGATGTGTATCCTGAACCACCATCCACCCCCGGAGAACAAAATAGTTTCTTCTCTCTGGTAAAGACAGCATGTGTGCGTTTACCAAGTGTTTTAGCATTGCTGTGTACTACTACTGCCAGTTTTGTACTGTCTGCAACATTTCCACGTGAAAATAGCTATAATTAAATAAATCTGTATAAATCTTTCTATTTAACTTCGTGGCCTACGAGTTTTGTTTTCTTAAAAACACGTGTGTACTGAGAAACGGTGACAGTAGACCTATGCAAGTGTAAAATATTTTATAGAACATGAAGATACTACATGCATATTCAATAAATTCCCTACTTAACGTTAATAGCACATGCCTTGAACAATTCTGTTTGACAATTCCGTCGGGAATAAACTTCAAATAATAAATTATAGCGTATTAGAATTATACTTAATCGAGATACGTTGAACAAACCGTGTCCTGTGCATGAGCGACCTTAGCATGCATCGAGTCGGTTACGCGCGATCAATCGCTGAATGTTTTTTGTGCGTTCAGAAATAGTGAGAAATGAGCAAAGCTAATAACGAGATAATTTTACATGGATTTCCTTTAACAGAGACGATTTCTAGGACGGTAGGATATATATATATACAACCACTTTTATGAGGCGCGATGATGCGCGCACCATGGCACAATTTCTGGTGCGCGGTGGAGCGCGAGCGCGATCGCGCCCCTTAAAAATGAAAGCATAACTATGACACTTTCTATAGCAATGACAAGGTTTTCTATGAACTAGAGTGTCGTCTGTCTTTCTCAGGTGAAGCCAGATCAGCGAGAGAACGCAATCCCTGATGAGTCATCGATGCCATCATCGCAGCGGCCCGCGACCCCGCGGCAGGAGGATCGGTTTGACGACGTTGTCGTGACGACGAGGCCGCCATCGCGCGGCGACTCGGGCGGTCAGACAGACGAGCGGCAGATCGTGCAGACGTCCAGTCTGTTGGCGCCGGGGATACTAGCCGGTGAGTACGACCCGGGTGCAGGAGCTACGCGCCTAACTGTATTCTTCTTCTTCTTCTTCTTTGTCGTAGTCTCTCGCGGATGGTCCATGCTGAGACGTCAGTTAGGGGCTGACTTCCCTGTTGAGGATTCTTCTCTGCCTTCCTCGATCGGCCGTATTCTCCTCCGTTACTCCCAACCTTCTCATCTCCGCCTCCACTCCATCCCTCCATCTAATTCTCTGTCGTTCTCTCGTCCTTCCTCCTCTCACCGCCTCCTGCCATGCTTTCTTCGTTTGCTCCTCATCTCTCTTCCTAACCACATGCCCATACCATCTCACCCTACTTTGCATTACAACTTCCTTAACGTATCTACCTCCAGGTATTCGTCTGACTGTATACACACTCACAAACACGAGCAACACACGTGACATCGGCCTTTCTGTTTAACTGTGGTGAAACGTTTCTTTTAATCATGAAAAATTATTCAAGCATATTTAACGGGAAGACAGCCTCACTAGATGGTCTTTAAACTATGGGATGACTGGTAGGTGTTAACGTCTTCGATCACACACTTATGCTATATACGGGTCAATAATTGACTTATGTAGCTAAATACACTCCATTCATGGTCATTGTGACAAAATCATAGTTAGTCTTAAGGTATTATAAGTGAGTGTACTAAATTTTAGTTTTCTAACCGTATACAGTCAAATCTGTATACCAGGGTTACACAAGGAAATGCTAAAATTGGCTTTTATAGGCAGGTGTTCATTCTATAAAAGTGACTGCACCACACCGGGTTGATGAAAAACAACATCTGGGTGACTGAAACACAAATAGCAGAGTATACAACTTGCAAATAGCAGATAGTGGCACACTTGTCGCAGTTTGTTTATTATTTTTAGCTTTAGCTATAGCAGATTATACTAGATAATAGAGGATCATAGAATTCTTGTGAGATATCATAACAACAAGCCAGCAATATATAACTAGCAAGCAGTATCTATGTAATCAGGTGCTTGTGCGTGTGCGTTTGCATATATGTGTGTGCATCTGCGTGTGCATGCGTGTATGTGTGCATCTGCGTGTGCATGCGTGTATGTGTGCATCTGCGTGTGCATGCGTGTAGTGGCATCTGCGTGTGTATGTGTGGCATCTGCGTGTGCATGCGTTGCATGCGTCGTGAGTGTGTTGTATGTGTGTGTATGGTGTGCATCTGCGTGTGCATGCGTGTGCATGTGTGTGTATGTGTGCATCTGCGTGTGCATGCGTGTGCATGTGTGTATGTGTGCATCTGCTGTGTACATGCGTGGTACATGCGTGTAGCGTGTGCATCTGCGATGTTACATGCGTGTGCATTACTGTGTACACATGTGCGTGTGCGGACTTACATGCCGTGGCACTGTGTGCCATGTGTGTGCGCATCTGCGTGTACATGCTAGTGTGCATATGTGGCATGTGTGCATGTGTGCGTGTGTGCGTGTTGCGCTGGGCCCGTGTGACGTTGTGCGTGAGCGTAGTGCGGTGTGTCACGTATCATCAAGATGCACTGCTTACCACACATCGAGGGAGGAAGGATATTTTATTATTGCTGTACTGGTGTGCATTTGTACGCGCTCCCTTCCGCCTCCCTCCCCCTGGGCCCCCCTCTGCTATCATATTAATTCGTATAGTTTCCTGATTTTTTTTTTTACATATTCCGCGGTTATTCGATGTGGGTGTAAGTAATGGATGTTCATCTCTATGGTCTCTACAAGACGCATGCGGCGTTAATAAGGCCTGGGCGCCTGCCTACGTGCGCATCTTGGCGTGCATGTGTACATCAAGGGATGCTAGCGCACTCATACGATATCAGACCTCACAGCACGTGAATGCCACTGTTGTGTGTGCATCGTTGTTATTGCGGTTATATTGCGGTCAGCGCGTGTTGATGCTGCGGAGATGAAATATTTGTATCATCTCCTTCCTGCATTCACCCTGAACATCGGCCCCGG